ATAGATAGATAGATAGATAGATAGATAGATAGATAGATAGATAGATAAATATGCGATGATTCTCTATTGACTTTTAGACTCAGAACAAAAATCTCATTTTTGCTTTCTGAGCCGTTATCACTCTGGCGAACATGGTGAACATTCCTAAAACCCGACAGACATTCTGCAAGAGATGTGGCAAGCACCAGCCCCACAACGTGACACAGTACAAGAAGGGCAAGGCAGTCCTGTGAGACCCGATAGACTAGGGTCAGAGGGAAAGGGAGGAGGACCTCCCCTATCAGAGGACTGGGAGAGGGACATGGGAGGAGATAAGGGAGGGAGGGATAGGGAGGATATGGGAGAAGGGGCTACAGCTGGGATACAAACTGAATAAACTGTAATTAATATTTAAAAAAATTAAAAAGTAAGAAAAAAGAAAAGAAGAAGGGCAAGGATTCTTTGTATGCCCAGGGAAGGTGGTGTTATGACAGGAAACAGAGTAGCCCTGGTAAGCAGACTAAATCTGTTTTCCAAAAAAAGGCTAAAACTACAAAAAAAGATTGTGCTGAGACCTAAATGTGCTAAGCCCAACTGCAGATCTAAGAGAATGCTGGCTATTAAGAGATACATGCATTCTGAACTGGGTGGCAATAGGAAGCAAAAGGGCCAAGTGATCTAGTTCTAAGGCAATTTGGTTATGAAGACAATAAAATCATGAGCTTTTGTTCACCTCAAAAAAAAAAAATCTCTTTATCACCACATATGGTGGCTCACACCTTTAATCCCAGCACTTGGGAAGCAAAAGTGGGCAGATCCCTGTGAGTTTGAAGCCAGCCTGGTCTATACAGTTGAGTTCCAGGACAGCCAAAGCTACATAGTTAGACCCTGTCTCAAAAAACAAAAATCTAGTAAACAAAAATATATATCGCATTATCAACCACATTTCTCAGCACATGCAAAAAAAAAAAAAAAAAAAAAAAAAAAGAAAAGAAAAAAACACTGAAAACTATTCTTCCCAAATTTTCGAACTTCAGTCCTACCTGTATTCTCAGTGGGCAAAGAAGCAATTAACTAAAATCAAAGGTCATGGCAAGAAAATGATCTCTATTCTGCTCATTCCCACCAATAAACTTAGAACTAATTGTCAAAACGAGGTATCCTTTAAATACTGTCTTCACACTAATAGATACCTTTTCATCCAAGATATGCCTATATTCCACAAACTCATGAATCAGATGGGCAGGGCCGACAAGTTCCGTCTTTGCTTTAATCCAATCCAGGGAAAACATTAAAGCACAAAGTTCCTAAAAATAAAGAAAAATAGTAAGATGGGGATACTAAGTTTAAAAAAAAAAAAGAACTTCAACTAGAACATCATTATCCTAACACTACTGAGAAACACTTTATGGATATCTAAAATTTAACACAGAAGAAACGTAGTAAAATAAAGACATAATTCAACAGAAATTCAAAATAAAACTTAAGTGGTATAAAGGATTTAAATAAAAAACAGAAAACTTTTTTAAAATGTAAGAAATTAGTAAAGGAAATCTGTGCAATCATGACACAAACCCAAAACAAACACATGTGCATATGCTCACATGTGTAAACATACACACACTTACAAACACATACACATTTAACTAGATAAAAATCCAAATATTCTATACATTAGAAAGCAATATATGCACACATTTAAATACATGTATAAACATAACTGTGACACATAATGGAGTAGGACTTAATGTGATTCTTTATAGAAAATCATAACAAGGGCTGGAGAGATAGCTCAGAGGTTAAAAACACCGGCTGTTCTTCCAAAGGTCCTGAGTTCAATCCCCAGCAACCACATGGTGGCTTACAACCATTGATAGTGAGATCTGGTGTGCATGCACACATACAGACAGAATACTGTATAAATAATAAATAAATCTTTAAAAAAAAGAAAATCATAACAAAACTAAAACAACATAAAAGATAAATGTAAACAAGGAAAAAGAACAAAATAAAAGGAGAGGCTAGCTGGGCTTGGTGGTGCACACCTTTAATCCCAGAGGCAGAGGCAAGCAGATCTCTGTGAGTTCCAGGCCAGCCTATTCTACAAAGCAAGTCCAGGACAGGGCTACACAGAGAAACCCTATCTTGAAAAGAACAAGCAAACAAACAAAAAAGATGAGTGACTTCAGATATGGTGGCATACACCGTATTCTTGAAGCTGAGGCAGGAGTATCACATACTCAAAACCAGCCTGGGCAGCACAGAAAGACCCAGTATGGCAAAAGCAAAAAAATAAAAGAATGAGGGTCTGGAGAGATGGCTCAGAGGTTAAGAGCACTAGCTGCTCTTCCAGAGGTCCTGAGTTCAATTCCCAGCAACTACATGGTGGCTCATAACCATCTATAATGGGATCTAGTGCCCTCTTCCGGGATGCAGGCCACCTACAGGCAGAATTCTATATAAATAATAAATAAATAAATCTTTGAAAAATAAAAAATGAGTGCAATTCATAAAATAAATGTATATATAGCCAATAATCAAAATTTCATGAGTAATCCAAGTGAAAGATTTACTATAATGCTGGATTGCTAAGAATAAAGGAATGATAATATTGGCAATAAAGCCTCATTTTTATACTGTTTTTCTATTCTTGTTTTTTTTTATTTTTGATAAAACAATAAATAATTTTGTCTTCATTTTTATTCAGTCCAGACATTTGAGAAACTTTTTGGCTACCTCAACTATGTTGAAATTTTCTTTTGATTTTCATGCAATTTGTGGCTTATTTACTTTATTTTAAAGAGTTGTGGATGCTCTAAATATCTTTTATTGATTTGTAATGTAACTCTCTCATAGCATATATATATATATATATCTTAAATATATATATGTTCAAGATATATATATCTTAAACCTATTTGAATATATTTAGGTTTGCAATATGACACAGAATGTTCGTATCAATAAATATCCTTGTACAGTTAAAAAAAAAAAAAAGAATATGGTGATAGCCAGGCAGTAGTAGCAGAAGGCTTTAATCCCTGCACTCTAACAAGTACTCAATAAGTACACAATAAATGAACAAATGACTTTCCTTTCCCGCCCTCCATTTCCACATAAAACTCATAAACAAATCCAACCTGTAGATAAAAGGGAGTTATAGCTAAGAGGAGAAACTGATTCATTTGCAGCAGTCACTAAGACTCCCTTATTTTTTAAATTACCACATATAAAAATGGAAAAATTCTTACACAAGCAAGACATATTTTCACTAATTAGGAAAAAAAAAGTCTAGCCGGACAGTGGTGATGCACGTCTTTAATCCCAGCACTCAGGAGGCAGAGGCAAGTCAATCTCTGAGTTCGAGACCAGCCTGGTCTACAGAATGAGTTCCAGGGCTACACAGAGAAACTCTGCCTCTAAAAACAAAATAAAACAAAACAACAATAAGAAAAATAAATCTAGGGCGGGCAAGATGGCTCAGAGGGTAAAGGTGATTGCCACCAAAGCTGTCCGCCTAAATTCAATCCCTCAAACATATACAATGCAAAGAGAGAACCAACTCCCAGAAGTTATCCTGATTTCCACATGCACACCGTGTCATGACACCCGCACACATCAACACACAACATAAATAAGGAAATGTGACAAATGGAACTTTTAAAATTCTAATAGGATAAAGCATGACACTAAAGAAAAACTTAACATAGCATTTAACTGTGTAAAAATTCAAATATCCAGGAAAACAGAAAGTAAAATCAGTAAAATTTAAGAAATAACTCGAGAGAGAATTGGAGAGATGGCTCAGTGGTTAATAGCAGGTGCTGCTCTTGCAGAGGACCCAGGTTCTGTTCCCAGCACCCACATCAGGCAGCTCACAACCATCTGTGACTCCAGTTCCAGGGGCCTGGCACATCTTTTGGCCTCCTTGGGTACTAGACACACGTGGTGCACATACATACATACAGCAACAACATTTATAGACATAAAGTAAAAATAAACAAAATCTTTAAGAGCAATAAATAAATAATCCTGGGGGGGGGCATTTACAACATATGGAAAGAGGAAAATAAAATAACAGAATTTTCAAATGTGTCATCTTACTCTGTGCATATTGGCACTGGCCATGTGATAGGCTAGAAAGTTGTACCAATACATGCAGTCCTCCTGATCTGGAGACAGTGTATGTGGCTGGTAACACCTCTGAAACTGCGTGACCATCTTCCTGTGTAGATCCTGAAACCCACATCGAGCAAGTCAGAAGACACAGACAGTATGATAACCTGAACATATATAAAGAAAATCTCTCCCACAAGCTAGCTACAGATGAGAAAGGGAGGAGTTTTACAGAGGAGAAATCAAGTAAGTACATCTTTAACCAAATAAACACCAACTACATTATCCATAAGACACACCAACCTTAATCCCTGATAGGGTGTAATAAAGGCACAGCATCACTTCTGTGTAATTTTTTAAAAAATAATTGTGTGTGTGTGTGTGTGTGTGTGTGTAGTTTGTGCTGAATGCAGGTGCCCGAGGGGTCAGAAGAGATCATCTAAAACTAGCATTACAAGCAGTTGTGAGCTGCCTAATGTGAATGCTGGGAATGGAGCAGCAAGTGTTCTTAACCACTGAACCATCTCTCCAGCCCCTTCATTATTCTTGCCAAATAGGTACAACCTCAAGAGAAGTAATGAGACAAAAGCAAATTAGGAAACCCTATTTAAACTAGCCGGTTGGTGCTCTTTGGCACTAGCAAAGCCGGGCTGCACACACAGCTTAGTGTAAAGCCTAATAGGCATGAGGCCTTGAGTTTAATTCCCATTAAAAACAAACACTGAGGCCTTTTCACAAATTTGAGGACATTAGGGAGATGACAAATAGAAAAATCAGATGCTGCCATTATTTGATGGTTCATGAGATCCTGAACTGGATCTGGACCACAGAAAGAACACTGATAGGGAAGGTAGAAAAACTCAGTAATTGTGGATTAGCTAGTAACAGTGCATCAATGGTAATTTTCTGGTTTTGATAGTTGTATTACAGCTGTGTAAGATATTAACAATAAGGGAAACAAGGCAAAGGTCCACACAGAGAAAGTCTGCAATATATTTTGTATATCTTTGTATATCAAGTCTAAAACTGTTTCAAAACAAAAAGCAAAAACACATGAGAGGAGATTTAAGTACCTGAAGCTGACTTCTATTCTTCTCTGTAAGAAAGTCTACTTGAAGATCATGTAAATAATAACAAAATGACTTTCCATTCCGATCACAGAACAAGAGAGACTTATTAACAAACACCTGCAGTATGTCTTCAACTTCTTCAGTTTCCAAGTCCCAGAGAATACAGAACACCTAGGAACCATTTTAAGCATTTAATAGACCACAAAAGAACAATGAGTAGGAAGTACTATAGACAAAGTATCTTGATCAATACATTACTTTAAGAATTTCTCCATGTCTCAAGAAGTTCAATTAGTTTTCAAGATAAAAAGAAAAACTGGATGGTTCTTTAACTTCTCTAGAACCACTGAAAATTAAGTAACTCACTCTCAACATAGACAGAAACTAAGAACACTCTGGCACCCTCCCCTATCACCTCAGTACAATTATCAAAGTTCACACACCGTAAACCCCCAATATGGAGTGCTGGCTGGTCCATTACCTTCGTCGGCACTTTGACATCTTTCTGAAGGATAGAAAGATCTGTGTAATAGTGTCTGAAATCGTCTCTGAGCATGTCAACACTTATAGACATGGCTTCATCCAGAGCCTCATAAGCATAAGATGAAGATTTCCTTATTCTCTTAAACTGCTTATTCTGAAGTTGTCTGAGGTAGTATTCCCAGCGATTGGGAAAATCACGTAAAAGTGCACCAATTAAAGACACTACAAGAGGAGAACCTGGAGGGAAGGTAATTATGTTAATACCACCTTATTTTAAAATAGTCACTAAACAATTTTATTTAAAAATTTTTAATCTCTCTCTGGGGAGTCGATATGTAGGTATATGGAGGAAGTAGATGTGCGTGAGTGTGTGAAAGTCAGAGAACAATTTGTAGGAGTCAGTTCTGTCATTCCACACAAACTCTGATAATGAAACTCAGGTTGTCAGGCTCAGCAGCAAGCATCTTTACCCAGCTACCATCACACCAGCACAAGAAACAATTTTTAGTAAAGTTATCCAAGGCCTTACAACATTCCTAGCTCCTGGTTTGCTTTACTTCAAGGTATACCTTGTAAGGAAATCATGAGAAATAAGATTTCACTAGCAGACAGTCCTGACAACATCATTCACTCACTCTATTTGCATTACTCTTTTTGTCCAATCTCTCTGCTACATGGCTGTCCACATTTCGGTCACACCTATGCAATGAAGTCCAGAGAGAACTGCAGAGGCTGAGCACCGGGAAGAGCTCCTGAAGGGTGCCACACTGAAGGCAACAGTGGAGCCACGCTCCCTCCCGAAACCTATCCATGTACCCCCTATCTGAACCTTTGTATTACCCTTTATAAGGCAGTCAGTATGTTTCCCTGATTTCTGTGAACCGCCCAATCAAATTAACAAAATTGAGGAGGGTGTTTCTAGATGCTGAGTCAGAAGGCTGGTGCAGCATGGGGACTGTTGACTGGCATCTGAAGTTGGAAGTAGAGAGAGGTCGTCATGGAAACTGATCCTTCAACCTGCAAGATGGACACTTTTCCATATAAACCATTTAAGAGTTAGCTAAGGGGACAGGTAGCTAGTGAACACTGCAGAACTGATTACTCACGTGCTGTCTGGTAAATATATCTACAAATGTGGTGTCAGAGTGATCTGTGCCGTCTGTGTTTAGTGAGAGAAACTAAGTCTAAGACTGTAGTGTTTGTTTTCCTCTACTTCGTCAGAACAAGTCAAAAGTATTACTTCACAAATAAAAACATCAACTTGGAGGACAACAGCATTTACTTACCAAACTAAAACATGAATTTTATAAAATTTTAAACAATGCATTTTTTTTTTTTGAGACAGGGTTTCTCTGTGTACCCTTGGCTATCCTGGACTCACTTTATAGACCAGACTGGCCTCAAACTCACAGAGATCCACCTGCCTCTGTCTCCCACAGTGCTGGGATTAAAAGGCCTATGTCACCAAGTCCGGCTCAAAGAAATTTTTAAATGATGCTCATAATATTTTTCACTTTTTGAAATAAAGTCTTAACTTTATTTCACTTTCTTATTAATGTACTCTTTAACTATGGTGAGTACATATCCCGTTATTTAAAGAATTAATAAATACCAAGTGCATTCATGTAAGGCAGGTTTTGGTGTTCATGTGCCAAGTTATCATATCCAGCTTACTTTATAAAGAGAGCACCCCCATACACAGGTAGCCCCACCTTTGCATTCCTTTATAATGCTGTGAGCCTCTCCCGGCAGATCTTCTTTCTTCATGTTAACAAAAAGCGACAAGATTTCAAGTCCCTTCTTTCTCCCTAGACTACTCTCCATAGGGACAACATACTTAGGACCTGAACGAAAATCATAACACAAAGTAAGTAATTTGTTTTGTCACATGTGTACATGTACTGCATGGAACCCTGCCTTTTAATGTAATAACTTTACTACAGTATTAAAAAGGAAATCCAAAGTCCTTACCCATTACTGAATCTGTAACGCTCTTATCTCTGGTTGTAAGAAGAATCTGACACTGGTTGTCAAAAGCTTTTAACACCCAAGGATCCCAAACATCATCCAAGATCAACAGAGACCTAAGTTTAAAAAAAAGAGACTAATTGCACTTATTTTACACTTTCTTTATAAAAGTCCTGAGACAAGAGTAAGACAGTTTCTTCCATGTATCTCCAAGAACAAAAAGAGTCAGGGCAGCAAAGGAGAGATTATAGTTCCAAGAAAAAAAGAAAGGAAAAACATGAAGAATTGTGGTGGTTTGAATAAAAATGCCTCCATAGACTCATGAATTTACACACTTAGTCCCCAGTTGATAAACTGTCTGGAAAGAAATAGGAGGTGTGGCCTTGTTGGAGAAGGTGTGTCACTAGGAGTAGACAATGAGGTTTCAAAAGCCCACGCCAGGGCAAGTGTCTTGTTCTCCACTGTTGCCTGTGGATCAGATGTAAAGCTCTCATTTATTCCTCGAGTGCCATGCCCATCTGCTTCCTGCCTTGATGACAATGGACAAACCCTCTGAAACTGTCAGGAAGCCTCCAATTAAATGCTTTCTTTTATAACAGCTGCCTTGGCCATGGTGTCTCTTCACAGCAACAGAATAGTAATAACTAAGACAGAAGTCAAGATTGGCAACCATACAAAAAAAGATAAATAAACAAAACCACACATGTATATACATACACAAAATAAATTTAACATAAAAAACCAGGACTGGAAAGATGGCTCAGCAGTTGGAAGAACTGGCCACTCTTACAGAGGATACAGGTTTGGCTCCCAGAACTCATAGGATAGCTAAAACAGTCTGTAATTCCAGTCCCAGAGAGTCTAAAACCCAGTTCTGCGTTCCACAGGCACCAAGAACACATATCTTGCACATACATATATGTAAGTAAAATACTAATCCCCATAAAACAATAAAGTTTCATAAAAAGAAAAAAAAAGAAAAACAGAAGGTTAACACAGAGGAAAAAAAAAGAAAACAGTCACAGTCCAACACAGCTTTGTAGGCAAGAAAGGAAACAAACCACAGGTAAGCCATCTGGTCCTTTGGACAAAAGACTGGAAGTCCCAGGTTCAGGAGAAGCCCACAGCTCTCCCAAGCCTGAAAACGGGTGTAGGGATCATGCAGGCTAGCTCTGAAGGAAATCCTATCACTCATCCTGCCTTTGAGTGCTTCTAGCCAGGTGCTATCTTGAGAGGACCTATTGTTAGATACTGAGCTACTGGGCATCTAGAAACAAAAGGCAAGTCAAGGGATGCCCCGCCACAGGGTCTGGATGGAGATGACTAGAAGAGGTAATTGTGAAGACAGAGAGGATCAGACAGGAACCCCATGGAAAGTCTAAGCAGTGGGGAGCTCTGACTATGGAAAGGTTGGTGGTCAGTGGCCCCACCATCTGTGGACTGGGTGTGGACTACTGGGGAGACTGAGAGTACTAGGTAGCTATCACAGATGGCCTAAGGACCCAGAGCTGGCTCCTTGTCACCTGTGGTTTGCTGCCAGGCAGCACCAACACCTGTGGCAGGGTGTGCAGTTCCTTTCTGTCCCTTACTCCAATGCAAAACACAACGCTGTTTCCTTTTTCTACTTTTAACACACTCAGAAGATATGCTTTGTTTGGAAGTTTGCCACTCCTCAGTGAACAAACTAGGAGGCCTCTGGAGCAAGTGGGAACCTGCCTGGCCAACAGGCTTGCAAAGCTTGCTGGGGCCACAGTGGCATTCTGTGCTCCAGGAAGGAAAGCTTCTAAAGTGAACCTAGCTGTAATGCTGACAACTTACCCCACATGCAGCACCAAACCAAACTATGGAAAACACAATAGACCCCATATATGACTCACTACCCATCTCAAGACCTGAAAGACTCCACTGCTACACAACCCTGAAAGGGTCTTCTCCAACCCCTATCTTAATCATTGTCAAAACCATAGTCTAGTATTATTTTATTCTCCAACGTCTATTATTTTATATTTTATCCCTCTTTTTCCATTAATTTATTTATTTATTCACTTTACATCCTGATTGTAGGATTTTCTGGAACTGGAATTACAGACTGTTCTTAACTGCCTTCCTCTCCTCCCAATCCCATCCTCACACCTACCCTTCCCCCAAGCTCCCCTCCCTTTTGTCTCAGAAAAGTATTCCTCTTGTTTTATCTAATTGTTTATAAAACTTTATTTTGTATGCTTAATTTTTACTTCTCTCCATATTTCTTTTTATCCTTTTTCTTTAAATTAGCTTGTTTCCCCTTTCACTGAACCCTCCTTTATTAATTCTTTCATGTCTATTTTTTATTTTTACTATTTTTAATTTCAAAGTTTATTCTACATTATTTTCTATTGTTGTACTCTTTTCTCTGGTTACTGGGTGTAAAAGTGATCTGTGATGAACTTTTACTGTGTTTTTGTACCTAGTTTGTTTTGGTGGTAGTGGTGGTACAGCAGATTGTTTTTCCCTTCTCCTGGAGGATGCAGCCCTTACCAGAAAGCTACTCATAAAGACCTGTAAAAAGATGTGCAAATCACAGCACAAAAACATAGAAAAGTAAGATAACATAACTCCTCCAAAATCTTATACTTCTTCAGTAATTATACCCAAAGATACTGAAATGGTTGAAATCACTTAAGTTTTCAAAACAGTGACCTCAGAGAGAATTCAAATAAATAAATGAAACAAAGAAGTCAATTCCAAAATGAGATGAAAAAATTCTATAACTTAAATAACAAATCCAGCAAAGAGAAATTCTTGGGGGGAAAATCAGCAGTCAAAACTAAAAACTCACCAATGAACTAGACCAGGTGAAATAAAGAATATCAGAAATAGAATACAAGGTTGAGGAATGGTTACATTTGAAGAGCAATAAAGAAAAACAAGTAAAAAAGCAATCATAACCAGCAATTAGGACCTTTAGGACATAATGAAGAGACCAGAGGCTAAGGATATGTCTCAGTTGCCTAGCATGCACAAAGCTCCAGATTCAATTTTCAGCACCACATAAATTGGGTACCATGCCACACATGTCTTATCCCACCATCTAGGAGGTGAAGGTAGGAAGATTAGAAGTTTAAGGTTATTTTCAACTACATAGTAAGTTCAAGACTAGCCTTGACTACTATATGACACTCTTTTAAAAAAACAAAAAACAAAACAAACAAACAAAAAAAAAAAAAAACCAGAAAAAAGCAAGCATAGCAGAGTATTGTTAATAGTGTCAGGGGTTGGCTCTCTTCCATGACGTGGGTCTCAGGTTGGGCCAGGCACTGGTTGAAGATTCCTGCAGTCTCTGCTCTATCTTTACCTCTGCACATCTTGTAGGCAGGGTAAATTTTGGGTTGAGGTTGTTTGGGTGGGTTGGTGTTCCCCTCCTTCCACTAGGAGTCCTGTCTGGTTAGAGAGTGTCCTCTTCAGTCTCCATGATCCCTGCTATTACCAGTCTTACCTAGTGTCAAACCCATGTCCTCCCAGGAGCCTACACTGCTGCAGGTCTCCAGCTTGTCTCAAAGATGGACCTTTGGTTTTCCCTCTCTCTCAAAGTCCTGGCCTCCCACCCCTGCTCTCCTTACATCTGATGAGTGAATGTGTGTGTGTGCGTGCGTCTGTATATTTCTTGTGTTCTTTTTTTTGAGACGGGGTCTCTCTGCATAGCCTTGTCTGTCCTGGACTCACTTTGTAGAGAAGCCTGACATCAAACTCACACAGATCTGCCTGCCTCTGCCTTCCTGAGTGCTGGGATTACAAGTGTGCACCACTAGGCCCAGCTCAGTGTTAATCTTTCAATTGGAAATTTAATGTTTACATTCAAAATCACTTTTTTTCTGGTGGGTTTATATATTCCCGTCTTTCTCTTTGTTCTCCTTTGTGGAGTATTTTCTTTCCAGTGGATGCTCCACCGGTGAGTGCTGTGCTTCCCATATTTTCATGAGACAGTTATCCTTTCACGTCTAGCGTAGGATTGCCTTAAGAATCTCTATTTGTCCTTCATTTCTGAAGAACAGCATTACTAAACAAAGTTCTTTTTTTCTTTGTTTGCTTTTTAGAGTTCTCTGTTTTGTTTTGTTTTCAAAATTGGGTTTCTCTATGGATCCTTAGATGCCCTGGAACTTGTTCTGTAGAGCAGGCTGGCCCTGAACCCAAAGAGAGCCACCTGCATCTCCCTCCCAAGTGCTGGGATTAAAGGCGTGTGTGACCACCACCCAGCTAGCAAAGTGTTCTTTTTGTAGTTTTATAATTTATTTACTTTTATTTATGTACATTGGTGTTTTGCCTTCATGCATGTCTGTGTGAGGGTGTCAGATCCCCTAAAACTGTTATTACACAGTTGTAAGCTGCTGTGTGGGTACTGGGAATTGAGCCTGAGTCCTCTACAAGAGCAGAGTGCTCTTTACTGCTGAGCTCTCTCTAGCCCCTATAGTGTTCTTAATTGGTAGGAAATTGTTTGCTTTTCAGACTTTAACTATATTATCCATTCTCTCCTGGCCTGTGAAGACTTCTGCTATTAGTCTAGTAGGGATTTCCTTATGAATGAGTTGATGCTTTTCTCTTGGGATTTGTTTGCTTTTTTGTTTGATGTTGTTGCTGTTTGGAGGTTGGGGGTTGTTTTTCTTTTGAGATAGCTTCTCCCTATGTAGCCTTAGCTGGCCTGGAACTTGCTATGTAAACCAGACTAGCCTCGAACTCGCAGAAATCTACCTGTCTCTCAAGTACTGGGATTAAAGGTATGCACCACCATGCCCGCTTCTTGATGCTCTTTGAAATCATTTCATCCTTTTATTTTTATATTTACTCATTTCTTCTGTCTGAGCACAGCTCTTTTAATTTCTCTTCTATTTATTTGTTATGCACGTATGTCATAGCACATATGTATGCACATATGTCATAGCATGCACATAAAAGTCAGAGGACAACCTGCAGGAGTCAGTTCTCTCCTTCCACCATGTGAGATACAGGGATCAAACTCAGGGTGTCAAACTGGGCAGCAAGGCCCCTTAGGCACTGGGCCAAAACTCCTGATTGTTTCACATTTGTCTTTGCTTTTAAGACAGAGTCTCACTCTGTAGCCTAGGCTCTCCTCAAAATCCCATTCCTCTTCCGCTGCCCATGACTCCTGGGATGATTACAGGTGTGCATCACAGCACCTGGACCTGGCAGAGTTATTACATAAGACTGAGCTTCAAGATCAGAAAGTCTTCCTTCAGCTTGAAATAGTCTGAGATTCTCAATTGTATTTTTTAATTGTTCAAAATTAAACAAAACTATCATCTCCTATCATTTGTTAAATTTTTTATTCAGATCATGTACTATTTTCTTAATTTTTCAGTTTTACTTTGTATTCTCTCCCATCTTACTGAGTTTCCTTATAATCATTATTTTTAATTCATTTTCAGGAATTTGTCAATTTCGTTTTCTCCTGGATCCATTGCTAAAACGCTGTTATATCCCTTAGGAGGCATCATGTTACCATGCTTTTTCATGGGTTTTGTGTCCCAAAACTTGTATTCATGCCTCTGGTAGATCAGCTGCCTCTAGCAACTTTTGCAATAGATTTTTTTTTTCCTTCTGTGTGTTTTCCAGAACTAACCAGGTGGGCTACCTTGACTCTGGTTCCATGTGGGTGTAATAATTCAGTGTGTATACAATGTCTTCGGCTATAATCAAAATCTAAAAAAAAAAAAAAACAAAAATCACGTGGTGGGAGCAACAGCACACACACGCCTTTAATCCCAGTACTCGGGAGGGAGAGGCAGAAGAATCTTTTGTGAGTTCGAGGCCAGCCTGGTCTACAGAGTGAGTTCCAAGACAGCCAGGGCTACTCAGAGAAACTCTCTCTCGAAAACACACACAGAGACACACACAATCTGGACCCTTGTGGGTATCTCTGTAACAACGGTTATAAGGCATGGTGGCTTGAATGAGAATGGCCTCCATATGGCTCATATGTTTGAATACTTGGATTCCAGTTAGTGGAACTGTTTGTGGAGGAGACCACCTGTGAGGTTTCAAATTGTAAATCCCGCTGTACCTCTGTTTCCTGTTTTGGGTTCAAGAGTTGAGCTCTCAGCTGTTCCTGCTGTCATGCTTTTACTCTGTCATCATGGACTCTAACTTTCTGAAACTATAAGCTCAAAAAGAAACCCTTCTACAAATAGCCTTGGTCAAGGAATTTTATCACAGCAACAGAAAAGTAACTAAGACCAGGGGTTTGTGGAATTGCTCCAGCAGCTCAAATGCAGCAGAACAGATATACTAAACACTAGCATAGCCAAACAAACTATGAGCTGCAAGTTTTGTACAATGCCCTGCATCATGGTAATAAGGCAGAGCTAGAAAGAAAGACACCTAACAATTGTCTTTGATCTCCTCAGGTGCACATAGGAACATATGCACACACCACACACAGTTCCAAGGCCACTGGGATGACCTAGACCTGAGTTCAAATACCAGAATCCATGGCAGAAAGAAAGACCCAATTCCTGAAAGCTGTCTTCTAACCTAGACACAAGCCTTAAAAAACAGACAGATACACACACACACACACACACACACACACACACACACACACACACACAATGAATTTTAAAATAAATCCTTTTAGCAAAGGATATGCCCCAGTGATAGAACATGTGCCTAACATGGATGAGCCTTGGGTCCAATCCCCATCCCCACAAATATCCTTCCTTCTTTCCTTTCTCAGTCTTTATCTAGTCACTTAGATTTTTTTTCCTCCTTCTATTTATCCAGTGGAAGCAGTAAAGACCACTAACTAACTATAAATTATAATTCACAAAGCCCTACAATGGCATCTAGGAAGCAATGCAACAAATAAGTTACAAAAATGAACAATTTAGACCAAACAGTAGCCACTTTGCTTTTTAAAATCATAAGAAGGAACAGCAGGAAAGCAATGGCTCTAGGAGAAGGGCATGGTGTCTCAGGATGTCAGTAAAGTCTCCCACACTAACTCCATTTGATTGATACCTTGGGTGTTTGTGTAGCATCAGAACACGGAGACGGTCTTTCGCCTCTTCAATATTAAGTGGAAGCCTCTTCGAAAAACTCTCTTCTTGATCCAGCCGTGAACAAAGATTCTGCAGTTTCATGAGAAGCCCAGATTTATCTTGTTTTCCAACTGAAACCCAATGTACACCCCCTGGGAAACAACCTAATAAGGAGAAGAAGAAATGTAAGGCCTCCGAACAAGAGCCCCCTCTGAACTGTTTTACTGTTAAGAATCAAATGTATGCCAATCTTCTATCTCATATCTTTGCCTTCTTTTGAGTCAAGCTATAAATTTTGATACGAGTCTATTGCTGAACTACAAACCTAAATCTATAACTGAAACTGAAGATTTTAAGTTAGGACTGTATCTGAGGCCTTCAGGGAAGTATTTTTGCTTTGCCAGGCATATTTTCATAATCTTTGTTCCCAACGACCTCTGCCTTATAATGGCCATTCTCATTATCAGTGCTTTTGAAATATGGGGCTAAGGGGGCTGAGTTACTGTTTGTTATGAGAGACTATCCATGTATACTAGGATGATTAACAGCCTCTGGTCCCCACTCTGGGATGCTTAGTAGGATTCTCCCTATCAGTATTAACCAAAAATATCTTCAAACATTGTGAAATACCCCATAGGATGTTGAGATGTGTGAAGTTATGTCTCTGTATATTCAATTATTGTTTAACTGTTCTTGGTATTGTTATTTCTATGGCCCATCAACGGTCTTATATTTTGTAAACATTCATCCTTTCTCACATGCCTACTGGATGTAATAAAGATCTGACACCCAATAGCTGGGCAGGCAGGCAGGGAACTTCCGGGAAAGAGAGGGTCTCTGGGACAAAAAAAGTAAAGGGTGGGGCTGGAGAGATGGCTGAGAGGTTAAGAGCACTGTGTTCTCTTCCAGAGGTCCTGAGTTCAATTCCCAGCACCCATATGGTGGCTCACAACCATCTATAAAGAGATCTGGTGACCTCTTCTGGCGTGGAGGTGTACATGCAGACAGAATATTATATACATAAAAAATAATTTAAAAAAAAAAAAAAGGTGTCTGGGATATTCGCCAGCTGGACAAGAAAGAGGTGGAAAGAGAAAGGTAGAGCTGGCTCCATGGCAAGAAATTAGCCAGATTAAGCTAGAAGGCTGGCTGGAAATCTGCCCAGCTAAAACACATAGGCATTAAAATATTAAAAAGCCTCTGTGTCATTATTTGAACCCCTGGTGGGTCCAAAAGTCCTGAATACATTTGGTTCCCAGCACCCACATGGCAGTTCATAACCTTAACTCCACTTCAGAGGATATGACTCCCTTTTCTGGCCTCTCAGGGGCAGACGCAGTGCACACACACATAGAATAAAAATAATGATTTTCGTTTTGTTCTGACAACAATGCCCTCCGCTTTACAGAAGCTTTTCAGTTTCAAAAGGTCCCATTTATTGATTGTTGATTTTAGAGCCTGTGCTGTTGGTGTTCTGCTCAGGAAGTTGTCTCCTGTGCTAAAGGATCTTCACCAATCCTATATCTGACAAAGGGCTAATATCCAGAATATATAAGAACTCAAGAAGTTAAACAGCAACAAATCAAGTAATCCAATTAAAAAATGGGGTACAGAGCTAAACAGAGAATTCTCAATAGAGGAATATCAAATGTCAGGGAAACACTTAAAGAAATGCTCAACATCCTTAGCTATCAGGGAAATGCAAATCAAAACAATCCTGAGATTTCACCTTACACCCATCAGAATGGCTAAGATAAAAAATTCAAGTGACAACACATGTTGGAGAGGTTGTGGAGAAAGGGGAACCCTCCTCCATTGCTGGTGGGAATGTAAACTTGTACAACCACTTTGGAAATCAATCTGGTGCTTTCTCAGACAATTACGAATAGTTCTACCTGAAGGTCTAGCTGTACCACTCTTAGGCATATAACCAAATGCTCAAGTTGTATATAAGGACATTTGCTCAACCATGTTTATAGCAGCTTTATTTGTAATAGCCAGAAGCTGGAAACAACCCAGATGTCTCTCAGTTGAGGAATGGATACAGAAATTGTTGTACATTTACACAATGGAATACTACTCAGCAATTAAAAACAAGGAAATCATGAAATTTGCAGGCAAATGGTGGGAACTAGAGAAGAACATCCTGAGTGAGGTATCCCAGAAGCAGAAAGACACACATGATATATACTCACTTATAAGTGGATATTAGACATATAATATATGATAAACATACTAAAATCTGTGTACCTAAAGAAGCTAAGCAAGAAGAACTGTGGGTAAGATGCTCAATCCTCATTCAGAAAGGCAAATGAGATGGACATTGGAAGAGGGAGAAAAAACAGGGAACAGGACAGGAGCCTACCACAGAGGGCCTCTGAAAGGCTCTACCCAGCAGGGTATCAAAGCAGATGCTGAGACTCATAGCCAAACTTTGGGCAGAGTGCAGGGAACCTTATGAAAGAAAAGAGAGACAGAAAGATCTGGAGGGGATAGGAGCTCCACAAGGAGAGAAAAAAATAATCTGGGCACAGGGGTCTTTTCTGAGACTGACACTCCAACCAAGGACCATTCATGGATATAATCTAGAAACCCTGCTCAGATGTAGCCCATGGCAGCTAGTAAGGGGAACAGGGACTGTCTCTGACATAAACTCAGTGGCTGGCTCTTTGATCACCTCCCCCTGAGGGGGGTACAGCCTTACCAGGCCACAGAGGAAAACAATGCAGACAGACCTGATGAGAACTGATAGACTAGGGTCAGATAGAAGGGGATGAGGACCTCCCGTATCAGTGGACTGGGAGAGGGGCATGGGAGGAAAAGAGGGAGGAAGGGTGGGATTGGGAGATGACAAGGGAGGGAACTATAGCTGAGATACAAAGTGAATAAACTGTAATTAATAAAATAAATAAATTTTTAAAAAAAATAATTTTCTTGAAAAGAAGAAACACCCATGAACACCTAAGTCACTATGGTTCTCTCAGCATTCTCAAGTGTGGCTCCAATGCTCACTCAACACACACTTGTAGCACATCAGCTCACAATATTCTCATCTGCTATGCTGACATGAGAATACTCTACTGACTGCAGAGTTGCCAAGAGAAATTTAAAATATAAAATGTGATAGGCATAATGGCACACGCCTTTAATTCCAGCACTCAGGAGGCCAAAGGCAGAAAGACCTCTGTGAGTTCAAGGCCAGCGTGTACTACAGAGCAAGTTCCAGGACAGTCAAGGCTACACAGAAAACCCTGTCTCAAAAAACTAAATAAATAAGTAAATGGGTATCAGGCAAGACTATCAGTGTTATGCTTCTGAAAGCACCCTATAAATATTAAGCTTTAAACTAGTTAGTACTTACCAAAATGTCATTATTATCATTACTCTTATAATTATTACTAATTAAACAACATGTCTTATAATATGTATTTTTATTTCTATATACCCAGAACAACAAAAAGTCTTAAATCTTCATAGCATATACTTACGTGACTACATCAATTTTTAAATGAAATAATTTTCCCCATATACATCTAAAAGAGCCAGACATGGAGATTCATACCTATAATTTCAATACTCAGGAAGCTGAGGCAGGAGGATTACAAGCTCAAGGCTAATACAGACTACACAGCAAGATTCTATCTCAAAAATAAATAAATAAACAAATAAATAAATAGGTAAATAAATAAATAAATAAAGTCTAGTTGGAGCACTGGCTCACACCTGTTACATAATCCCAGCACTGAGAAACAACAAACACATAGGAGGATACAGGAGAGGCAGAAAGATAAGTGGATGCTGCCATTGTAGAAATCAATAGGGAGTTTTGTACCATATATGGTTCCGCTATACCACAACTGGATGTATACCTAGAGGATTCTAAGTTACCACACCACAGAGATACTTGTACATCTGTGCTTATTGTTGCACTATTCACTTTTTTTGTTTTGTTTTGTTTTTCAAGACAGGATTTCTCTGTGTAGCCTTGGCTGTCCTGGACTCAGTTTGTAGACCATGCTGGCCTTGAACTCACAGCAATCTGCCTGCCTCTACCTCCCAGAGTGCTGGGATCACAAGCGTGCACCACTACACCCAGCTTGTGCACTATTCACAACAGTCAAGATATGGAACCAGCCCAGAGACTCATTAACACAAATGGGTAAATAAAATGCCGTATGCATGCCAGTGGAATTATTTGTTGTTGTTGTTGTTTCAAGACAGGGTTCCTCTGTATAGCCTTGGCTATCCTGGACTCACTTAGTAGATGCCAATGGAATTATTACACTATTATTATAGGAAAATAAACGAAACTGAGATCAAGATGTAAAACAAAATAAACCAAACTGAAAAAGATAAACACTACATTTTCTCTCATGGACAAAAGTCGATTTGAATTTATAGGGATGATGCAATGGACTAGTGGATAAAGACACATGCCATAAATCTGATGACCTGACTTCAACCCTCAGGCAAAAGGTAGAAAGAGAATAAACTTTTGAAAGTTGTCCTCAGACCTACATCTACACACTAACATAAATAAATAAAATATTTTTTCAATTCCTTTAATTTGTGTGTATGTGTTTATGTGTGTTGTATATGAAAAATAGAAAGTGGACTAAGAGAGAAAAAAAGCTGTAAAGAGAGGGAAAGGGAAGAGCAAAATAGAGTAATGACCTATATGTGAAGTGAAAGAAAAGAAAGGGGACTATCTGAGAAGGGGAGGACAGCAAAGAGGGCAGGAACAAAGACGAACTATGGGGCTGTGTGCACATGAAAACACAATGTAGCTGTTTTGAGCCGGCTGGAGGGCGCAGAGGGTAAAAGTGGCTGCCACGCAAGCCTGACAGCCTGAGTTTGATCCTGGAGCCACAGAAAGGCGGAAAGAGAAAATGGACTCCACAATGTTGTCTTCAGACTCCACATGTGGACTGTGGCACACACACGTCCATGAGCACACAGGCACACACTAATAAATTATTATTTTTTAACTGTTGGGCATGGTGGTGCACACCTTTAATCCCAGCACCCAAGAAGCACAGGCAGGTTGATCTCTGATTTCATTGTTAGGCTGGTCTACAGAGTGAGACTCCACCTCAAGATAAACAAATAATTCACTACCAATATTTTTAAAAGAAGTTCGTTATTTTGTGTGCTAACTAAAAAAATTAGGTTAAAAAAAAAAAGACAAGGCTGAAAACTCTGGTTAGATTACTATGTATGTTAGAAGAAGGAAGAAAAGAAATCCCAACACTTTACTCGCAGAAACTTCCAGAAGTTCTTGCCTAGGGTGAAACGGTAGGTCCTACTGCTATGCTCTGTGTACATATATTTGGAAACACACAAAAAATATTTTTAAAAATTCACTCTAAGCTGATCACCAAGATTTAGAATTTAGGAGACTGACAAATGGAGAGAGCTTTTATTTCCTTTGCTTCTACTCTGTTTTGTGATTGAACATGCACATCATGCATTCTACCCACTGAGCTGGTCCAACCATCTTACTGTGTTTCTATGGCCTAGGTCAGCCTCAGCCTCCCAAGTCTCTTGCCTCAGACTCCTGCTTTTGTACTCACACTTAGCTTATTTTTACTTTTTTTTTTTAAATTAAAAATTCTACTTTTCCTACCAGTGGTGATGAATGCCTTTAGTGAGTTCCAGGACAGCCAGGGCTACACAGAGAAAGAAAGAAAGAGAGAGAGAGAGAGAGGAAGGAAGGAAGGAAGGAAGGAAGGAAGGAAGGAAGGAAGGAAGGAAGGAAGGAAGGAAGAAGGAAGGAAATGATTTTTTTTCATTTCTCAAAAAAATTTCCTTTCAGCTGGGCATGGTTGTACAAGCCTTTAATCCTAGCACTTGGGGAGGCAGAGGCAGGTGGATCTTTGAGTTCAAGGCCAAGCTAGTCTACAAAGTGACTACAGGATAGCCAAGGCTACACAAAGAAACCTTGTCTCAAAAAAACAAACAAACAAACAAAAAAAAAAAACCTACTTTTATAATACACAAATTTGTAATTCTAAAAAAGTGTGCTTTCCAGATTACTTTTCAAAAATTATACCAGGATTAAAAAGAAGTAACGTACCTTAATGGAACTACCTGGTAAACTGTTCCACATTGAAATACCACTTTCCTAGGTTACATGCTTCCTATCCTGAGCTTAAAACTACATTGGGGCATTATAAACATATGCAAGAATAAACCAAATAAATACCATTCATTTCAAAAGGAAAGGTAAACAATTAGATTAAGTGATCAATTGACTACATATGTACCACTACAGTACAACATTTAATCAGTGAACTGTTATTTCTATATTTTAGGAGGAATTTAAACATCTTAAATATGGGCACAAGAGGGAGCAATTTATCCTTGAATGAGACTTGTACTTATATTCACTCAGAGAAATTTATTCAAAGAAAAACTGCCTCTATTCAGAGGGGAAAGCAAAAGAGATCCCATTCTATTTTCACATGAGGTTTTTCCTGCTAGCAATTAATAATCTAATAGCATCAAGGAAATCTTGGGATGACAGAAGCAAATATGTAGGCAGCCTACAGAAAAAGCTTCCATATTTTAAAGACACAGCATAGGGCTGGCAAAATGCTCAGGGACTTAGGACCAAACCTGACAACCTCAGTTCAATCCCTGAAATCCACATGGTAGAAAAAGAGAACTGATGCACCATGGCCCCCACACACACAAAGAAAGAGTACTTTAATTGGTTTAAAGATATGCTGACGTTTTCTCTATATGTAACAAAGAGTTAAAGTTTGAAAAGAAAGCTAGTTTACTTAAAATTGTAAAGCAGGTGGTGAAAATCCCAGCACTTGGATCTCACAAAAGTATCTGAGGTTATGACTTAAGCTCACATGTACCAAAGAGTTACTAGTGCATTTGGGGTTTTCTCAAAGCAAAGAGGTTAGAAACTGGGGAGATGGCTCTGTTGGTACAGTGCTTGCATCAAGCAAGAGGACCTAAATGTAATCCCTACCACCAATGTGAAAAGCCAGATGTGGCAGAGGAGAACAGGACATGCCTACAACATGTGGAGAAAGGCAGAGCCCTGTGAGTGGCTGCCAGCTTGCCTAGCTCAGCCATTCAGCTCTAGAGTCAAAGAGACACCCTGTCTCAAAATAGAAAGTAGAGAACAATTGAGGAAGACTCCTATGTTGACCTCTGGCCCCACAAGCACATGTGTACACCCATGCTCGCACACACACACACACACACACACACACACACACACATACACACAGCTGTTAAATTATACCATGTTTCCTGAGCCACTAACCCTCTAAGTTTTTATTCGCTTTTAATCCCTAACATTATCATAATACAGAGCAACTTAAACGAAGTATTCTTTAAATTTTAAATTTATATTTTAAAGAAAGTTCATCATGAAACTGATATGAAAACTTAATTCTTTAATCCTTACAGGAACTTAAGCTATTTTATCCTGAAATAGCTTTAGCAATCAATTCTGTAGTAGTTTGTTAGGGTTTTGTTTTGCTTTAGACAGAATCTCACTGCATAGCCTTGGCTATCCAGGAACTCACTATGTAGATCAGGCTGGCCTTGAACTCAGAGATCTACCTACCTCTGCCTCCCATGTGTTGCAATTACTGGCATGCACCACCACTACCAGGCAGCCAAAGAGATTTTAAAAACCTTTCCAAGGCTCTAGAGACTTTCAAGGAGCTAGTAAATCCCAAGAAACTCCTCTTATGACAGGAAAAAAAAAAAAACAAAACTAAAAGCTAAGGACTGGACATCTTGTCAAACCTGCCACCAATACTGCTAAAAAGGCTAACAAGGTGTAAACTAAATCCTTGTTTGCACAAACATGTGCCCTAGACTATCTTTCTAATCTCTTATAGGCCTATTACTTCATCCACTTCATGTGTCATAAACTCCCTTGATTGCTGAATAAGACTTGTATTTTTAAAATGATCACTAGAAGTCAGAAACTGTTTTTGAATTCCCTACAAATGCTAAACAAATAGGACTCACTAAAAAATGAAGAAGCTGGTAAGACATTTAGGCATTTACAACCAAACCTGACAGTCTGAGTTTGGATCGCTAGAACCTACATGATGGAAAGAAAGAACCACCTCTTCCTAAGTGTCTCTGTCCTTCACACAAGTGGCATGACATGTGCATTCTCGTGTAAACATACAGAGGTGCACACATGTAAAAAATGAATATTTTTAGAAATTATAGAAGAAGAGAGAAAGCCAAACATTGGGGTAGTTGCATACTTACTCCTAATAAATATCATGAGAACCTTGCCAAGCTAATCTGAACCCTCTTCTGCCAAGTATGTCTTTCAGCTCTCCATTAACCATGCACCATCCTTCCTACTTCCCAACTCTTCCATCCCTAGTCCGACTAGCAAATTCTCTAAAATTCAACTACATGTCATCTCATTCAGAAAACCTACCCTATCCAGTCCCTTCCTCTAGAACATAACCATTGCTTCCTTCTAACTTTGTACCCTGTATTAGTTAGGGTTCCCTCCACGGCCTCTACATCTGCTCCTGTTTCCAGGTTCCTGCAATGTTTGAGTCCCTGTCCTGGCTTCCTTCAATGATGAACAGAAAGGATAAGGCAGATAACCCCTTTTTTTCCTCCCCAACTTGCTTTTGGTCATGGTGTTTCATCACAGCAATAGGAAACATAATTAGGACAATGCATTAAAGAGAGAGAGAATAAAAGAACTCTTATAGAAATGGAACAACCTGAGGATCTAAGTTTGATCCTGGGAACCCATATGGAGGAAAGAGAGAATGAATTCCCACAAAGAATCCTCAAGCCGCCACATGCATGCTGTGGCACACACATCCAAGTACAGAATTTCCCCTAAGAACTGCCACAGTAATTCAGTCGTGTGAGTTTTAAAAAACAAAAAAACACACCTGGCATAGCGGTGAACAACTACAGTCCTAGCACTCAGGGAGGCAGAGGCAGACAGTGAGGCCAGCCTGGTCTATAAAGAGAGTCCAGGACACAGAAAAACACAGGCTACACAGAAAAACCCTGCCGGAAAAAAAAAATCACTAAGAAATGTATGTTGTTTAAAGTCACTAAATTTGTGGTAGTTTATTAGAATTCCTAAAAGCAACAATAAGCAAATAAGTAAAAGAATTCCAGTGTTCAAGTCAAAGCAAACTCTTGAAAAGCAGTGTTCAAGTGACGACATCAAACTTACCTTCTAAGAGGGAATGATCTCGAACAGCTTCCGCAGCTAACACCGACTTCCCACAGCCTGCCATTCCATAGATGGTAACCCACCCTGGTTCACCATTCAGTTTCCAGAGCTTCTGCTGAATTGCATTAACCAGCTTCTTCCTAGTAACAAAAATAACTGGCCTCTGTGGGACTCCACCTTCACACAGCACTGTCCTTACTGAAATCCAAAACAAGTATGAATGAACAAAACTTTGAGATGCCTACTTTTGAGAATCCTCCCATCAAACCCAAACAAGCAAGGCTGAGGTCTTAGCCTCAAATTTTTCAAAACAAAATTCAAAATATTACTAGACTATGAACTTCACCCTTCCAGTGTCTCAGAACACAAAGAACAAGAGTAAGCATATGTTCTTTAAGATCACTTCCCACCACGGAAGTCTCCAGCTATTCCTGCCTTACAGCCACTATTATTCCTTGACTCTCTAGCCTCTTTTGTCTTACATTAAATTATGGGAAGAACTAAGGGTGGCTGAAGTTGCTTAGTATGTGCAAGGTCATGGGTTTGATTCCCAAGGACCATGAAGAAGAAAACAGGAAAGACATGACGGCAACAAAATGGCTCAACAGGTAAAGGAGGCTGCCAAGTCTGATGACCGAGTTGTCCCCTGTAAGCTGTCCTCTGAACTCTACATGTGCACCATAGCACACACTATAAATGGGCGTGCTTTAAAAAAAAAAAAAACAAAAAAAAAAACATTAAGACTTGGAAGAATGTAAAGGGAACAATGGAATTCCTTTCAAAAATCTAGGTTTCTGGGCTGGAGAGATGGCTTAGTGTTAAGAGCCCTAACTGCGCTTCCAGAGGACCTGGGTTCATTCCCAGACAGGAGCTCACAACTGCCTGTAATTCTAGTTCCAGATGATCCAATGCCTTCTTCTTCTGGGCTCTGAGGACACCAGACATATACATGGCGCACAGGCATACTCACAGGAAAAACATGCAGACTCATAAAATGCTAGGTTTTTTTTTAAAGGATGTAAATTTCTAAAGATTCCTTTCCTGTCCTAGACCATATATATAATATAAACAACAAATAAAAATAATGAAGGCCCTACAAGTGTTCTTATTAGCTCTAAAGTTTAGGGTACACAGGCTACTACCTCAGCATTAAGTAGCTCACAGAACAAGAAGAAAATGTATTAACATGGACACAAATAAATATTTAAATTTGAACTTAAAATATTTTTGCACATGCATCCTTCCACGACCTGAACTACACTCTCCAGCTGTTTAACTACAATCAGACGTGCAAGCACTGCAACCATGAGTGTGACAATAAGACTCTGGGTATCAGGGATACAAACCAAACGAAGTTATTCCACCATCTGTGTCTTTGCCACTGGAAGAAGAAACAAGAGGAAGACCACTGTGAAGAAGTGCAGCAAGGTCTTTATATCCCTCATGTAGCAGAGCATTGTAGAATGAAATGTAGGCACAGTTATCTTTATTAAGTATCATTTTAATTAAAGTAGCTGCTCGCTGAGATTGAGTGGCCTGAAAAATATTAGATAGTGCAAGAACAGAGCAGTGAATATGTTTGCAACACAAGTTAGCAGAGGCTGGGGCACATTTTGAAAGTATGAAAAAATTTTAAGGAAGCACAGTGCCTCAGGAGGCTTTACCTGGATTTTCACTTTTTCCTCCTCTCCTACTGTTAAAACGCCATTACTGATCATATGGTCCATGATGTAGGATGTTTTGATGTCCTTTTCCAGAGCTTCTCTATGTTGAAGCAAACAGTTCCGGGCCTTTGCATCCATTGTCGTTCAGGTTTTTTTCTCTCTTTGCTGTCAAGCATGAGCTACAGGCATAGCAGCAAGATACTTGTCATCACAAGAAACATGATGTGTAACTTCAATGGTAATTAAGAAATATAAGGAAAACAAGATTTTTTATTTTTTTAAATAGGTTTATATATATATAACGGAACATTACATAGACATTTAAAATTATTTGGCACATATCTCTATATGTACATATAATATCTGACAAAAAAAAAGATGTTTCTCACACTGCTGATTTGAAAAATATAAAGCCCCAAATAACACAAAATGTGTTGTATCACAAAAATATATAAGAACATGCTTAAAAGTTCGTTCATCCAAGTGTTTGGCAGACTATGTAGCAAGACTTTGGCTTTCTTTCTTTGTAATTTATAAAGTGTTGTCATTTTTATTCAATACACATTGTCATTTTTTATAGAAAAAATTCTTCCTTTTCTTAGGTTGAGGTTCTGTAAGAGTTATCACACTTAAGTCCTAATGTTTTGACTTGTTTTCCCTTATCCAACCAAAAACCAAGTAGCATTGCTGATACCGAGTTCTCAAAGTAGATGTCAGCCCCAGATCTTCATTAGTAAGCACATACTTTTACCACCAGAAATCCCCTCTGATGTCATTTCTTGAACCAAGGTAATAAACAAAAAATAACATTCTTGACAGAAAGATAGTTTCACTTCCTAGTAACTTCCCTACAATATAACCAAAGTTATTCCATGGGTACAAAGTCTGGTTCTGAATGCTTGCAAGTTCGAAACACTGACAGAACTCCATCCAATGTACTAAAGTGTGAATATCTTAAATAGGCTTAATCTTTCCTTCAATATGTGGGGGAGGGAGGGGTACCAGGGCTTGAACCTACTGTCCTGTTATATATGGCGGACAATCTACCTACTGCTGCATAATCCGGGCCCTCATGTATACTGTGCCCCTCCTGAGACTAGATAACATTAACTCATATCCCTGAAGAAATTTTCAATCTAGTAAAATGAAAAGGGGGATAATCAGAATGTGACTGTCCGAAATGCAAAACCAGAGATAGGCACAGAGTAATTTAGAGATCACAGAAGGGTGAGTATCATTCAATTTCAAAAGAAAAAAAAAATCCAATTTTTTAACAAAGTCATTATATGTAGCACCTGCGAACATAAAGGAGGCATTTGTTTGTGGGCGTCAAAGTTCACAAAATGCACAGGACTGGAATGAAACTAACTGAAGAAAAAAATCAAACAAGCAAACAAGAAAAGAAAGAAAGAAATGATCAGAAACAATACTATCATTTTTAATGTTAATGTTTTTAGTCTCCAAAAGGTTTCTCAACTGGCAGTTGTGAAATCCATTCTGACAAAAAAAGAATTTTTAGCTTATGTCTAATAATGAACGAAAAACACTCTTTGGCAATTAAGTTCCAATTTTCTATAGCCTTATTAAACTCAAATATATAAATCTTAAACAACTTTTTTCAAACTTTGCACACACTGAAAAACTATGGGCAAATCCCCAGTTTGATGTGGACCTCTGTGTCCACATCAAAAGAGAAAGTCAAACTCCTCGGAGATACAGACCACAAAATAAAGGCAAACAGGAAATACAGTAATAGTGGTCCATTTCCTCCTTAGATAATTTCTCTTCCTGGTTACAGGGGCAGGATGAATACCAAATATCCCCTAATCTTCAGCCCCTGGGAGCCACAACAGAACTTGCAAAGAACCTGCCCGGAGAGGTCTGGGGAGAGCGAGAGGGAGGCGGTAAACTTACCCAAGCCTTTGCACGGGAGCTGGGCTGGGAGGGGCGGCCCAGGGAGGGTCAGAAGCTGATAATCGATCGCCCGAAGGCAGCCCGGCCTTGACCGGCTCCAGGCGACCCCGCGCCCCGGGCAGGTCCTGACCGCAGGTGCCTCACCTGGGTACGGGCCGCTCGGGGCGCAGGAGGATGCGGGACCTGCGAACGGCGTCGAGGGGTGGTCGCCTCGGAGGGCTGACCCCACAGGGCTTGCAGCAGGGATGGGTGCCTGGACCTAGGGCACAAAAGCACAACCACTCCGGCCGCCGCCTCTCCCCTCCGGCGGGAGCTGCCCGGGCGGCAAGTGGACGGCGCTCGGAACGCTGCGGCGATGGTGTCAGATCGTCTCCCGTCGCTGACGGGCACACGCCTCTCGCGGCCGACCCCTCCTCTCCCACCCCTCTGCGCTCCGCGAGAGCCGTCCGGTCCGCTCGCTGCCTCCCGGGCTCCGCTTCAGGACCGCGGGGCACTCAAACACCGCTGGGCCCGCCCAGTCCAGGCAGCGCGCGCACGCGCACGCAAGTCCACATCGCGGAGGGCCCGCCGCCGCGCGCGCGCCCCGCCGGGCCCGTGCCCGCGCAAGCCCTGGGACGCCTGTCCGCGCACGCGCCGCGGGGGAGGGGGCTAAGCCGCGGGCGCGCGCCCAGCTTGA